ACACAGACACATGTAGACTAAATTATACACACACACATAAACCTAGTACAATTTTATAAATGAAATTTTAGCAATACTTGTTTTCTATTTTTTTAAAATTAAATAGATTATACATGTAAAATGCATATATATATATATATATATATATATATATATGTGTGTGTGTGTGTGTGTGTGTGTGTGTGTGTGTGTGTGTGTATGAATCTATGTATGTATGTGTGTGCTACACAAACAGATCTGTCAGTTTAAGTTTGGAACACAAGTCGATATTATCACATGACAACACTTGCAAGGTTATACAATGTCGAAATTTCCGATAGGGCAGTGTGGACCGAACTCATAATTCTGTATTAATGGCTAAGCAGACTAGTGCGTTATACACACGCGCACAACCACACACACACACACATATATATATATATATATATATATATATATATATATATATATAAATTACTTCAAACGTTATTTTTACTGGATAGATATATAGTGCTTATAGGGATTATATATATATAGAGAGAGAGAGAGTGAGGGAGGGAGAGGGAGATAGATGTGTTGAAAAATCTAAACAAAATTTCTATTAGCTTTTATTTTAATCCTCTCAAATTCTCGAATTAATTTCTTTTTAAAAGAAAGATGCCGTAATTTTGGTTATTTCTTTTATTTTCGCAAGTACTTTTCAATCTCATCCAAGGTCATCTTCAGGGGTAAATTGCTTAGACAAAAATTAATGTAATAGGTAGTTGTGATTTTTTTGTAAATGCACATGAAACGCATCTGTTTATTAAAAATTAACGTTATCAAGGGAAGTAACTTAATTTATATTTGTATGTTTTTACAATTACAATTAAGGATTTTAAAACATAGAAGTTAGAATTTTAAATTCTTCAAAAGATTACAATTTAGCTATTTTAACACTGTTATAGACATTTTAAAACATTGTTAAACTAATAATTAACTTTATTTAGCGTTGGTTATATATATATATATATATATATGTATGTATGTATGTATGTATGTATGTGTGTGTGTGTGTGTGTGTGTGTGTGTGTGTGTGTGTGTGTGTGTGTTTAATGTGTGCAGGGAAAGGGAGAGCGAGTAATAGTCAGCAAAGAGAAAGAGAGAAAAAAAAACAACTTGGACATTGAAATCACTAGTAATAACTGTCAGTATGGATTTTCAAACCACATGGACATGGTCTGAAGATCGATTGAAAAAATAAATATGTGTATATATATTTAAATAACAAATCATTCGTACTTTTTTTCTGCTAAACTGAAGAAAGAATGAAATTGTGCGTAATTTCTATTCTGTATCTTTTCTTTACAGTTTTCTTGTTCTTATGGAAATTAATTTATGCATTCTCCCAGCTTTTCTGCATTTAAGGTAAATCATCATACTATTTTCAGAATGGCTCGAGAGCAAAATATTTATATAGCCTAGATTATGTATCTCATTTTTTACAGATACTGTTGACACGGAAGGACAGACCTAAAAGCATAACTCTTTTATTTCCAAGACATTCTGAAAAAGTGGATAAGGATTTACGTTAAAATCATTTCAGAAAAGGCTATATGAATCTCTTGTTTTCGAGCCATTCTGAAAATAGGATGAAAATTTACCTTAAATTCTCTTCAGAAAAAAAAAGCAAATTGTAAAGAACTGATACAGAATAAATATTAACATGTTATTACAAAAGTCGCACAATTTCATTCTTTTCTTTCATCAGGAGAAACGGCAGCATAGCGGAAAAGGTATCAACGATTTATTATTTAAGCATATACACAAATACACACACACAAGCGTTTCTTCTTTCTTTTGTGATCTGATGAAGCCTAGTAAGGGTAAAACGTGTAATCTAGTTTCAATTTGTCATATTCTTCGAACGTTGTCGGGACTCGGTATCCGATTTTACACACACACACACACACACACACACACACACACACACACACACACACACACACACATATATATATATATTATATTGCCCCTTGAATCTACTTTCTTTGTCTGGATTCCAATTGTTCTTAATCTTGTTCTATTTTTTAACCCTCTTGAAATTTAATCCTTGGTTCATTTTTTGATTATATTTTGCCATTTATTCTCACAAATTCTGTGGCTCTTAAATTAAGAGAAACAGGATTTGCAGTGAATAAATAAAAACCGGTGAAGGCTCGTATGTTTTTTATTTATTTATTTCTTAGATTTTGTTTCTGTGCCGGCCACGCACTCTAAAACTTTTCATTTTCTTTCTTTGTCGGTTTCTCTTAGCCTTTCAGTAATTCGTTGAGTTTGCCATTATTTCGTTCATTTTTGTCATCACTTTATATATATATATATATATATATATATATATATATATATTTTTAATCTTTTTTGTATTGTTTTCTTCATTTTTCTTTCTTTACCTTTCCCTTATTATTTTATATTAACTTTGTTTTTCTTTCATTTTTCTGTTTGGAGAACTACTCTTTATAGTTGTTTTTAGTTTTATCAC